AGAGCCTGGGGGTATCCTTTGATATGTTTCAATATTTACAGTAGTTGTTTTCTGACTTCACTCTCTGCAACACAACACGGGCTCAGGTGGGACTTTCATGGATGCTCGACCAATGCTTGGGCCTGAATCCAAGGCCAAGGCCAAACCCAAAGCCAAGGCCAAGCGGAGGGCAAAAGGGGATGGGCCTACGCCTGCGCCTAACCCAACTCCAGACATCCCCCCAATACCGAGAGGTGGTAAGGATCCAGAGCTTGAGGCTTTGGAATTGAAGCGGAGGTCCATATTGACAAAGAACAAATGGATTGAACGACTTAAGGAACTGGATGCACAGGCATCTGAGATTATTTGTCGGGCACAACCATTTGCTGATTGCAGGGAGTTACTTGTCAATATAAGCTTACAAGTATATACTGTATGTATACATACACACATCCATATCACTGGTTACACATTTTGGAAGAAACATGTTCAATCATGTCGTGTTTGGAGGAAAGGAAGCTTAACATAATTCCATTATTGTGTGTTTTGTTTTGTGATGTTTTGTTTGTTTGGTTGTTTCATTTGTTGTTGTTGTTGTTGTTGTTTTTTTTTGGGGGGGGGGGGGGGGGGGGGTGCTCATGATGGAACTTGTATATTCGGATATATTTAGGTATTCTGAACTTTGATTGTTCCTTATACATTCAAAACATACTTAAGTTTCACGGACTGACCAACCTAGGCTCACAGAACTCTTGCAGAGCCGGTTGGAGAAGTTCTATGGACTTTGCCCAAAGATCCTCATATCACATGGTAGCGATAGTGCTTTGGCGGGCTTCGACAAGAATGAAGCCATTTCGAAGTTGAGTCCCGCATCACTAGCAATGTCAAAGCTGTTTGAGTCGTCAGCGCCACCAACCAAGACATCCTTGGCAGACTATGAGAAAAAGCTGACTTCAAACGAGCAAAGTGTGAAGAAGGTACTCACTCAATTGGAGAGGTCCATTGATGTTCTTGAGGCAGCCAAAGAACAGGAGCTCGCCCACAAAAAAAGGCCGATGTGTCCAATATAGTGCGTTTGTGTTCTCAATCAATTGTTGTCCTGCTGCTGGCCTTGTCGTGTTGCTTGTTGTGGCTGGAGAATGGTTCACTCTCATTACCCCCAACACATGTCTTTTGTGTTTGTTTTTTTTTCAATATATACCTGACGTCTGACATCATACTGCGCTTGGCAGGCTTGCTGAACTTCAACGAAAGAGAAAGACTTCTAACATCGAGGCACTTGGTGCTGCCAGACAGAAGGGCATGGAGGCTGCAGAGAAGGAAGCAGGCAACGATCGTGATTCTGAGTCAGACTTGCCAGACGATGACCATGACTCACCATCTGGACCTGCTGAGGATCCTCCAGGCCCAAAACAGGCAGAGGCAACTCCTCATGAGAATTCTTCAGTCCAAGAACAAGACCAAGACTCACAGGCGCCCAAGCTCTATCTTTTGGCGGATGCGAAGAAGCTTCTCATTCCACACACTTGTCAAGGATGGAGCTTCCTCAATTCTAAGAAGTCCACACACCTGCGTTTTGAGCCCAATGATTTGGCCATCAACACAGAGACACTGGACGCATTTCTGACTGGAGCATCAGATTTGGTCGCTGATGCCTGCAAGACACAACGTCTGACAACCTATTTGAAGGAGACGGCTTATCCACAGGGACTGAGGGTATGTGCTGCAGACTTGGTGCAGGGATTGAACATGTTGAACGCGAAGCTTCCCGGCATGCACACAATATCGGTGAAATCAGTGATTACATTGACATTACATTTGTGATATAGGTCAGATCGGACATTGAGCTGAAACTATGTTTACAAAAGCTCACTAGGAAGGGCGGTGGGTTACATCTTTCATTGATTACATGTTGGCTAAGTCGAGTTTCATAACATATGACATATGACATCTGACAATTGACATATATTATATTCATATTTAGTATTAGTATATTAATATATATATATAGTATATAGTATATAGTTATAGTTTTTTTATACTACAGTTGTTTTGTATAGTTGACATGTGGCATGTTCTGAGGCTGAACTTCACAGAAAGTGACAGAAACTTGGTGGACAAGATCGCTACTCCACGCCTTGTGGTTGCAAATGACAACTGGACGTGGTTTGGTTTTGCTGAGATGATGTGGAGCAAACTGATTGCTGTCATCAAGGGCTCACTGTTTGTTGCGACCATCCCCATTCATGCCTTCAAGGATGACATTGACCGGGGATGCAATTTGCAAACACTTGCGGACAAGCTGTGCTCCATGACCCTTGATGAGCTGGAAGCTGTCGGGGGTAAATAACTTAGTTGTTGCCGCCGCCACTGTTGTTTCACATTTCACTACACTTGGCTTGACTCCAATGTTCATGGGATGTGCTTTTTTGGATTGATTGGACACTACAGGGAGCAAACATCACAATAACTAAACCGATCTAGTCTAGATCCGTGACTGAGGTGCACATAGGTTCCTTCTCACTGGCGAGGCAATGGTGATCCCTCCTGGGCGATTGCTCTATCAAGCGTGTAGAGGCTTGCTACCAGATGACTTCAACCCGCCAATGGATCAGGAATCAAAGGCGCCTGGTTGTCTACTATTCGCATCCTGGCTTTGGCTCTCATGGCAATTTTTTTATATATGACTTGTTGAACCTAGGGCGGACAATTGTCCCCTTCACACCTACCATATATGTGAGGTACAGACGGGCATTTGCGTGCAGCACATGTTCGTTGATGATCTTGACAGCCTGAGCAAGGCCTTGAAGCTTGGAGTCAAAGTGCTAAAGGCCCAGTCATCTAGCTATGATGCAAAGCGTGACCGGATTGAGCAAAGCCTGAAGTGGGTGGATCAATGTGTTCACAACATGGTGAAGGAAGAGGTCGACGCTGATACCACCGCAGATCATCGCATTGGTGTAGAGAGGAGGAAGCTCGACTTCAACAACCCACCTGTGGCAGATGACCTTGACGAATGGTTTGCAAATGAGGATGTGGAAGATCTTGATTTTGAGCTTGACCGTTGCAGAAAGCATTCCTTGTTCAACAAGTACTTGGAACCAGAAGAATTTCAAGATCTGATTCAAGAAGGATGGGAATTTGGGGATGCGGAGAGCTCTGATCCATTGGAGGATCTCAGAGGATTTCTGATCTTTCAGAAGAAGCACTCACAGCGCTTGCTTGCCAAGGCACACGGCCTCAATCATCCTTTTGTGCAACCGCCTCTTGAATCAACATCCTCCTCCTCACATGATGTTTCTGCTACCAATGCCGGCGCTGCTTGTGCATCATTGCCTGAGGAGCCCGTTCAGTCAGAGTTTGAGAAGGCCTTGATTGAATCAGTAGCTGCATTAACATCAACACCATCACCATGCCGTGCGCCTGGCCCGATTCTTGCAATTGAATGGAGGGCCCCGGCCGAGCAGGTGTTGCCATCACCACCTGAATTGCCTGCGCCACCACGTGCAGGAAATGGTGGAGGTGAACTCAAGGCATCCGCTCAATCCGCTCCGCATGATACTGCCATGATGGAGCTACCACAGAGCGGCCCACAGGAGACAACCCATGCTGGTGTGGAGGCTGTGGAGGTGGCTACACCTCTGGGATCATCTGAGCAGAATGGTGGTGATGCCAAAGTCAGCAAGACCGTGCAGTCGCCGGGGCAGACTTCCATGGCGGGGATAGCACACAGCGGCAGTCACGAGATAATCCCTGCTGATGAGGCTACTGCGGAGTCCACGGGTAAGCAGTTTTGGGATTACAGCCATCGCCCCAGAAGCATTGATGATTTACGCAGGTTCTGCAAGAAATCACATACCAGCAGCTTCGCTGATGAGAGACTCAGAGCTATTCAACACCCGCTTTTTGCGAAGTTCCTGGCATCCAAATCAATGTCCCTTCAGCAAGGTCTCAACGGGTGGGCTGCGGGAAACACTGAGAAAGAACAGCTGCAAGACCTACGCAGTTTCTTGGTGTGGTTGTTTGACACACAGAAGGACCAAGCCCTCAGCAGCACCCTCAATCATGGTTGCGGTGCAGGCTATGATGCTGATACAAACCTTGATGAGATGAGTGCAGCCCTTTCTGAACGTGCAGAGATGGACGCACGATATGCATCATCAATGGCATCCACATCACATGCAGATATGGACCTCACAGCCGACTTGAAAAGCCAGACCATGCAAAAAGGCCCAGGTCAGATTTCTCCAGGAGCTGACGGATCTGACCGTGAGGCTGTGAAGAAACACATTGATGCAGCCACCGAGAAGATGTTGAAGTCGCAGGCCTTGCGCTCTACGCCAGCTAAGAGGGTGACCACAAAGCGCGGCCAGACCTCCTTGGAGACTGCCTTCCATATTCAGGAGATGATTTCCGGGTTATGGGTTTACATGTGCATTCGTTGAACACATTGATATTTGTGATCTTGACTGTTCAAGATCTTTCATTTGGTGACAAATTGGCGAAACTAACCTACCTACCAACTACCAACTACTAACACCAGACTGAACTTTAACTTAGACGATACCTATAACTATGAATGTTGTTGTTTTTCCTTTTCCTGGGCATGTTCCGTTGGGATTAGTTTATTATATTATTCTATATTCAATATTCTATACAGGTTTATGACATCATAGGTACTTGACTGTGAAACACAACCAAAGCCAGAGTGTTGCCCCCGTTCAGGAAGCACAACCTTCAAAGAAGGCCAATAAAAAGAAGTGAGAGCTGGAGCGTGGAGTGGGCAATCCAAAGGATTGCAGTGCAGTGGCACAGTTTCCATTGATTGGGGAGCGTGGTGACATGGTGTGCCAACCTGCTAATCTATATGGGAGATCTCCGCTATATTACAACTTACAACTCACTTCACTTGTAACATCGTACACCTACTACATCCAACATTAGGGTAATAGTTTGTGGAATTTTATCATTTGTTTTCATGACAATTTATCGGCAACCTTAGTATCAATTTGATGGTTAATTGTAATGATTCTCCTTTGATCATGTTTTCTCTACACTACGTGATGTTCGGCTGAATCGACGGTTCTCCCATCTGCCAAAACGGCAAATTTGGTGCATTAGGGAGGGGTGTGCTGTGACAGTCCAAGACGTAACGTGACCCTAGCAGTGTGGTTTCTTCCAAGACATGAACTGGAGTTCTGCAGATGATGTGTGCACTGGCACCCTCCAAACTTCCAAATACTTGGAACCAATCCACTAGAGCAGGAAAAAGACATTGCTCGCCTGTTTTTGTGCCGCGTGTGTCTGAATGCCTGTTTTTTTCAACCATATGCTCCCCCCCGGCCCAGACAAAATCCACCCGTAATCTGAAATAGCTCAACGGAAATAGTATTGCTGGGTAAAGATGGACAATTCAAAGATGGTATGAAGCAACCTTTGAAGCAAATCTTAAAATGGTTGGTTTTTTGAATTGTCCACCTCTGCTAGGTTGCTTCATACCTGGACATTTTGAGGCTGACTCCTAAGTACATCGAAGTGCGATGCTTAGAAATGTCTCACCGCTCACGCCGCACCGCAGCACCGCTGCGATCGCCGTGCCGCCGTGCCGCCGTGCCGCTCGCCACGTGATGAATCGGATCTCAGGGCCCTGTGGCTGCCCGAACCAGCACCGTCGGGGTCACCTGGAAGCCCTGTCCTGGGGCCCACTATCCAGGATGACAGGAGACCCCTGAATTCCGGCTCAGAGTCTGGCGTCTTTAGAACTGGTGATACCGAGCTGAAGTAGTTCGCTTGGATCCACTGGGAGAGGTTTAAAGAAGGCTTGTGGCTTCGTAACAACCCTGCGGTAGTACGACGGTCCGCATGCTTTGGGGGCCGCTTGGGTCAGCCCCACTCCCAGCTGAACCCGTCGCCAGGCCGAGATAGCGGAGTTCCAGGAGGCCTTCGTGGTGGACAACAGTCAGCTGACCCTTCACCGAACATGGCTGGGAGGTGAACATCGTTGGAGTGAACATCGTTGTGCTTGGAAGGGGTGTAGCCTTGCCCGTGTGTTTCTCTAGAGGGGGCCGAAGGTGTGCCTGAGTAACAAGAGTGTTGCAAGGATGAAAGACGTGCATGGACTAGGCCCAGGCGGTGGTTTCGGATATTTTAAGGTTCAACCCTTTACATGGGATGATTGAATCCACTTTCCTGGCACATGGTATGAACACCCAGAACATGCACAAAATCTTCCTTCAAAAGACAAAGCAAATCCCTCCGAGCCGCCAGATCCAAGCAACTCGTCAGCGGGATATGCACATGTCACGATTCCGTTGCGGCACTGGCACTCGGCACATGTCTTCTCTAAGGAACACTGACTCACGTGGCATCGCGTATCGCGAGAGCATGAACATGAAGGAGGGCATGAGCGGAACGTGTCGTCCGACTGCCTGACGCGTTGGTCAAACAACCCTTCAAAAAAACACTGTACAAGGAAGTGGAAGTTGGGGCCCCTGCAAGACGAAAAGCATCCCATCTACGCCAAAAAGACGATCTCCAGGTGGATTCTCTCCAGAATCGACGAAAAACGGAGTTCTTTTGGGGTCTCCCGCTGGGCCCGGGAGTTGTAGCTTCGGCCAAAGAAACCACAGGACTCCAGGCCGCCGAATCAATGTCGGGGTGGGGCTGGGACTCATCATCGCTAGTAGGCTGGAGGCCATCGCTTTTAGCTGGAGCTCGTCTGTTCACTCGTGAAGTCTGTTCACACTCGGCAGCCTCATGGCATGGCCATGCGCCCCCAAGGACTCGGATGACCATGAGTGAAATCCGAATGCCAACAGGTTAGGTGTTTTAGGGTTTTTTCTTTTTTCCACTTCCATGTTTCTTCCACCAAAGTACCAGGACCCTCACTGCCAGGTCACCAATGGTTCAACCTGCAGGAGAGCCTAACACCCAACCCTCCAGCCATCGGAGACCTTAAGGAGTCGGGTGCGCCCCAAAGGGCGCTTTGTTTTCTAACCAGACCAGTCTGACTGGATCACTGGGTGGGCTGAGACGTATGGAGCTGTTCTTCTGATCCGCATCGGGTCATTGCAAGACAGCAAGAAATGACGCAATGCTAGTTGTGTAACATGTTGAAACGACGTCAATATTTTAAAAGTATGCATACCCAGACACTCCATGTATTAGGCATATTTAGCTACATTGCGGTAGTTTGGGAGGTCAATGTAGGCATATTCGATACAGTGTGTGGGATATGAATCAAACAATTGAGGAGGCCGTTGTTTGTTCATTGCTTGGTGAACATGAAGGAGGCATCATAGTCAATATCCTCCTTCCAAAGAAGAATGGTTAAGTGCCCCCCCCGCATCGTGGAGAGCACCAGTCGGCCAATCTACAAACCACTTTGTTCCTTAACGAATCGAATGTGACCGCAGAGTGGCAGATAGATTGCCCGCATGGCGCATCTTCAAAAATTGTTCGAAGTGGGCATTGGCCACCCGCCTCAATCCAAGCCTTTAACTTGAACAACTGGTGAAAGGAAAGGGTTCAAAAGCAAGTCACTATGCATTCGAAGAGAGTTCTTCTCAGTTCTTTAATGATTTGTCCGAGCTTTCACCAGGACAAGCTCACTCGGATCGCCGAGTTCAACTCAGCCCCTTGGCAGTGGTCGGATGTTCGAGCAACATGGGACGGCTTCGTGTTGCGCTTGTTCGAATTCCCCTTTTTGTGAGATTGTGTCGTGTCCTGTCATTCTGCTGCCTGACTCTTGGTGCTTTTTAGATGCAGATCTGAATGAGTTGCCAACAACGTACCTGATACAAATGATTCTATGGTGCACGAAAGTCTGAGTCTGAGGGCTGCCATCGATTCTGAGTGTATCGCTGGGTGTCAGATGGGATTCATCCGGGGATCGTCTTCTAAGCGGATCCCTCTTTTTCAGTCTTTGAAGGCGCCCAGCGATCCAACCACCATCGTAGGTACGCATCGCTGAACGCACCATCCGTACCAGTTGCGAATGTTCCAGATAAAAACAGAGTATTGCTCCTTACTTCGCAAGTCCTGCTTCCGCTCCAAATTCTTTGGATGTCTTTCCCCCTTGCAGAAACGGCCTGACACTGGTGGCCGGTCCGACGGCTGAGGTGGTCCGCGGTGTGGTTTGCAAGGCTTTGGACGGCAGCCAATGGCTTCGTGTGGAGGATCAGCTTTTTCTGCCGCTCCAGGCAGACCAGTCGTGTAGTCCAAGTCGGCGGTCCGGTCATGAGATCCTGGGACTTGTTGCAGAGTGCAGTTGCGGAGTGCTTGTCTACATTTGGGAGTTCATTGGTTCAGATGTCATGTAATTAAGATGGTTTCGACCATATTGCTTGACCCCGAAACGAAGATTTGTTTGGGACCGGAACTTGTTGCGGAAAGATCGGACGTGCATATTTTGTGATTTGGTCCAGTTTGTTTCCGATGATTTGCGGCTCGCATAGGGTTGGGAAGAAAATCTCCAATGCCAAGGCCGCATTCCTAGCCCTAGCATTGATTCACCAGAAAATTGAACGAAGACTCTCCATTTCACCCTCCCTTCCCTTGATCACCAGAGAGTGTTTCATCTCTACCACCTCCTTTCCAGGAAACCCATAGCTCATCAACCTCTACCAGCATAAAAAGAGGCCGCAGACCGACCGACGCTGCCACCAGGTGGGCAACAAGGAGGTGCTCCGTCGCTCCTGGTGGGACGCCGAGGAGCCCCGGCAACTCGCCGAGGAGCTCCGCCAGAAACCGGCGGCCCAGGCCACGGGCGGGGTGGCACCGGGACCGGCGGGGTGGCACCGGGGTGCGCGGAGGGATGAGAACAGCGTGAGTGAAGTGTTTGGTGATGAGAACCGTGTCATTGTCATGCTTTGGTGAGGGATCTATCTCAGTGATGAAACTCAGTGGTCAACACCTATACTATACCACTTCAGGCGAATTGTAAATAGCTATACTTAGGTGGGATTTCAGCCAGGGAGGCTACGTGAAATCAAGAGCACCAGTGATGTATGCACACATAAACATCGCCAGTGTCATTGTTCCAACCAAGCTGCTCGCTTTGGAACGTGCTCCTTTACCGCACCAGGGGTTCTACGGACGAACAAAATTCCACAACTCAGCAAGCCATTGGCCATTGGCCAATCTACTTTGAAGTCAACTAGAAAGCAGATCCATCGTCCTCAAGGGGTGCAGGCATTTGTCCTATCCATTTTTATCCGGGTTGCATTTCACTGATGAAGGAAGTCAAAGCTTTTACACACGCCTGCTGAAATGATGCGGTGCTTCGGTGCTCCCGACTGGACTTTGTCCACAGATCGCCCGGTGCTCGCGTGGCCAGCTCCGCACGCCTGGTGCCCGCCATTTCCGGTCATTTCCTACAGGTGAGTCCTGCCAGAGACGTGGAGGAGGTGGAAGACTTTGTGAGTCCGCCTGAAGCCGCTGGGAG